ATTTTAAGAGTAGGTTTTTGCCTCCCCTGAAATGCCTAACTCAGGCGGTGTATTTTTATGCCTACAGATATTGGCACATTTCACATTTAAGATTATGACACACCAACTTATTTTGAAATTTTTAAGTCTGCCACTGCGCATGTTTCAAGTGCTTCATGACTATCACTGATAATTGAGCAATTAAATTAAAATTACCAAAATTTGCTGTGATGGCACAATATGTAGTAAGCAACATGAAAGAATAAGAACAGGGGAACTTAGTACAGTGAAAAAAGTAATAAAGGGTAAAAATAAGCCTTAATAATAATAACAGTACTGAGTAAGTTTTAATGGTCCCAGGTTTCAGTGGTTTAATGGTGCCAGTAAAATGGTTTAATGAAACAAGTACAGAGTATTACAAACTTTTTAGAGCAGTTTGTTCTGGGGCAACAAAAAGGGAGCTTCATTCTAACTGGTCTTGTGTAATATTCGGGGATTGGTCCAAAAATTAAGTGTGGGAGTTTCATTAGACAACAAGCAGAAAACAATTAGGTTAAATCCTGACAGGCAGATTCTTATGAAATAAATACACACTTGTAAAAAAGAGATGTCAAGTCTTCCTTTAAAGCATAAGACAGACAAAGCAAAACCTCTAGGGTTAAAGATGACCTCAAGAAATCATCAAGCTACTGTGAAGATATCTGCAAATCAAAAATTAAGATACATGGCTTGACATCAAAAGAGAAGGATGAGATTCAGTTATACTAGGAAAATCAGAATGCCTCTTCTGTTCATCCCATCAAGGTCTCTAATACAGGCTTTTCTAGCTAAAACCATAGAGTGACTGTGAAGAGGAGCTTTTTAGTGCTTAAATATAGCCGGTGAAGCAAATTCCATAAACCTAAATCCTACTTACTTCTGTGGCAGGCCATCTTAAAGGTTTGCAAGGAAAACCAACAATTTAGAAAGTCAGAGAGAGGGAAGAAAGATTCAAACTACAGCAAATAAAGGATGCTATTAAAAAATATTTTTTTCTCAAAAATTCCATCCATATTGCTCTAAAACACAACTAAGAGATTAAAAATAGGCCAGGCTACCCTTTCAGGTATAAATCAGACATAGAAAATGAAGCGAGCAGAGTGAACAAGCGTCTAAGGGCACTAGTATATAAAACTTTAAGAAGCTTAGAATGTAATGGACATACACATTCAGATTAGCAGACTGCTTTCAATTAAAATAGATTTCTAGCCACAGTTCACAAATGTATAGTAGCTGTGTGTATCAGTGTAGATACTTCAAATGTCAGTATATCTCTAATTAACATGAGCACACAACTGTAAAACTGAGAAGGCACAATTTTAAATTCCTTACATTCCCAGCATTAATGCTTTCGTGGGGCAGCTCCCGTTGTCATGGAAAATGGCATTCAAGCCTTATTTGTGGATTTTCACAGCTCATCTTTTTTATTTACCTGCTCTATGTCAAGATTAGCCTGGAATAATATTTTTTAAAGATAATGCACTTACTTGTCCTTAAAATCACAGATGTTTTCACTGAGGGAGCTTTGGACTGGGCTATTCTCAGTTTGAAATAGATTTCTTTCCATTTAAATATACCACAAAAAGATGAATTTGTGATTTTTTCTTTGCTGGTTTCCTAAAAATTTATGCAATTCAAACATTTCAGCTGAAGCATGGCCTGTGGCAGTTCTGGAGGAGGGGGTAGGCCAATGCCAGAGAGGGGCAACGACCCAGGAACAGAGGAAAACAAAGTGGCAAAGGCTCTCCACAGTCTCCTCCTCGGCTTACTCCTCCTCAACTTTCCAGAATTGTGTGGCAATCAAGTGGAGGCTGAGGTAGTGATCAAAAATGACAAAAGAAAGAGCTAAAATACTCTCTGAGAAAGGACAGCTTGGTATTACAGAAAGAGCACTAAAAGGTTAAGTCCTGCTACTCTGCAAAAATGAGAATAATTCCTATTCACCTCCGAGTTTTTACAAAACTAAGTCAATTTAATGTCTTCAAAACCAAGCGTTACACCAAATTAAGATATGTCATCATTGTTGCCTCAAGCGCGGGCTAAGCAACAATCACGTTTTGTACCCTTTTTGGGGAAAAGATTGCTATCAGAGACCATGAACAGTGATAGAATTTTATAAAAAGGAATTCATTTTCAAATTACTAAAAAGGCCCTAGCAGGTTTTGCTCAGTGATTAGAGCACAGGCACTTCAACTGAAGTGTCCTGGGTTCGATTACAACCAAGGGCATGTACCTCGGGTTGCAGGCTCAATCCCCAGCCCTGGTCAGGTGCATGTGGGAGACAACTAATTGATGTGTCTCTCTCTTTCTCTCTCTCTCTTTCCCTTACACTCTCTGAAAAGCAATGGAAAAATTCTCTTTGGGTAAGGGTTAAAAAAAAAAAAGTCTTGGATAACCTGAAAAAGCAGGTTATCTAAGGACCTATTTCTGTTTTGTTTTGTTTTTAACCAATCATTTATTGCCCTGGTAAACAGAATGGTCAGGATTCCATAATTATTTTTTAATTAGAGATAAAAAACTAAATGTGGGATATTAACATGGAAAACAAGGTCTTATTACACAATGCCTACTTTGGGAAAAGAAAAGGATAGTTTTAGTTTTTAAAGAGAAAAAAAAATATCCCCTATGGTAAGACGCTTTCAGCTTCTGAGAAGATAACCATTTTCCCTCAGAGTGTTTTCCTCTTGTGACCTAGGCAGTAGACGTGAGCAGGTAAGATTCCAATCAGTTCTCACACACCCTTGGTGTGGCCCATTCATTATGGATGGTGCAAAACAATATCCCACCTTCCTTATCTCACAGGCCAGCTTCTGCACACCTTACTAAGAAACCTTCCCATGGCCATGAGGTATAACTTTCTGCCTTAGATCATGTAGCAAATAAGCAGTTCCAGGACACGGAAATTAAAGTTCCTAAAAGAAGCCATTGTCACTGATGCCATTTGCTTGTTCTTAAGCCAAACTAGAGAAATATTTTTATTGTTGTAGCTGCCTCATCATTCAGTGTAAGTGGTAGACAGTTTCCACAATAATTGAAAGAAATGGGAACTCAAGCATTCTGGATGCCATGTTAATTTTATCCGACTTATCTTAGTCATAGTATCCTGCTCCGTTTCTTTAATAAGAAGGTCCCACAGTCAGAAGATGGCTCTAACAAAGCCTGAGACCACTGGCCAAAGGAACAAAAGAGTCCATGCCCTAAACTAGCATACGGAAATTCTCAAGACTGGAAAACAATTACTTTGGGCCTGTATGATTAGCATTACTTTTGCCTAAGTGATCAAGACAAGAATCTGAAATTGAACTCCAAAAACAACCGTATGAAAACTATACCCACAGTGCCCCTTCTACTATTCTCAGCATCTCTTTGTAAGATCACAAGAAAAATCTCAGTCATTTGGATCACCTCCACTCAAAGTTAGTCTATGTAGGATGGGGGAGGGAGAGGCAAAGAGTTCAGGAAACAGAGCCTTTAGGTGATGACGAATATAAATTACATTTTGGTAAAGGCTATCTTGGTTGAAATGCCAGTAATTATCTTGTACTTGCCATTTTTAAAATTTAGTCATCTTAAGCACTTACTAAAGGGAATGACTGAATGATATGAGAGAGAAAGGAAGTAAAAGAAGAGAGAAAAGTAACTAAGGTCAGATTAGAATAGCTCAGAATTACTTCCCTTCTTTCAGATCTCTGGTAGGATAAGCTCAGCCCCTGGGAATCATCCTGTTCCTCAAGAGCCCTTCGGAAATACTTTACATCTCTACCCCCATCTTCTTTGCTTCCTAATCCTCACTACGATGCCTTGCACAAATTAAAAGCTTATATTTAATCCAGATGAACCATGTAGTTTAATATTTTGTGTTTTACATAAGAATTAAGTCTTCAAAATAAAATAATTGATAGCTTCATAAAAATAGCATCTTATTCTTAAAACATTAAAAATACATGAAATGTATTAAACTATATTAAACATTTGTGTCTATTTTTTAAAGTTCATTCTAAATGCCAGCCCCAGTCAATGCTACTACTAAAAGAAAGGTAAAGCTGGTTTTAAATAAATTTTGGCTGCTCTTTGCTTAAATACTGAATAACTTAAACTCTAATGTATAATGTTACTTTTTAAAAACTACTTTCCTAGAAATACATTCTCTAAAACTTCCTTACAGGAGAACACCAACAGAGGAAAAGTTTGTATATCTTTGCTTTTATCAAATGTAAAACAGCCCTTGAGATGCCAATGGTTTACAACATGGCACACATATAAATGTATTTTAGGTTCTACTTAAATACAGTCAATTGTTTAACAGACATTTTTAATATCTGCCACATACTCTAAAGTACTTCTATATTAGTAAGTATATATCAATTTAAAGTATTTTAATTGATCATTAAGGTTCATTCAATTTTTTTCTTGGAACTTAACTTTTTTCCTGAGAAAAAAGTATCTTTGTTCTCCAAAATACCATTTAAAATATAATATTGTTTTGGAGGACGGTGAAGAAAGCAGGCATACCCCCAATTTAATATACACTATACATTCACTAAATGGGTCTTTGGTTCCTTAGTACATAATCTCCTCCTGTACTGACAGTTCTTTGAACTCTGTATTATCTCACCTCTTCTGTGAGCATGGGCACACAGCACTTTTCAAGTCCAGACAACCAGAAGACTAAGAATTTACCAGGGTAAATTATTCATGTATATAAAAACAAGCCCCTTTAAGGTAATTCATTCCTATAATTGAGCCCCATCTTCAAAAAGTAAGATATTTATTCTTTTAGTATATTGTAATGGGCCCTAATAGTTTTTCTCTACTCCTAAGAAAACACAAAAAAATAAAAAACACTTTAAAAACACCAATAAAAATTCTAATTTTTACAAAAAAAACAATAAAAATTCACACACAAAAGGGGTTAAGAACTTGTTTACAAACTATAACTTTCATTACACAATGAGAAGAGTATTAAATAAACCAATACTTACAAATACGCAAAAAAAAATCAGCCCCAGCACCCAGAAATCACTGGTAAATTGCCTTTGAATTCATGAAAGTGACCTGAAAATTTAGACAGAAAATGAAATAAAAAAGGTTAAGTAAATTGCTTTTACATGCTTTATTAAAGAAGTATTCATTTGACTATAAGTCACACTACTTTTAACTCAGACAGTTGTCCTCTACTATAACAACTTTTTCTAAGATGATAATAACAAAAGAAACAATTATTTCATTGTTCTACTGCTAAGAATACAATATCTCCATCCATTATAACTTTTTTTAATGTCAGTAATAAAGTTGGTGTTTAAAAGTGTAAGTAAATACAAAAGGAAAATTAGTTTTAAAAAAAGAAATAAAGGCTTACAAGTTATATTTGAAAAACATATTTAATTTATGTCTGCAAGTTAAAATGAATTAGCTTCTCAGAAAATATCTTGGATGTGTTCAACAAGAATACCTTATAGGTGGAATAAACATGAAAGGATGCAGTTTTTGTTCTACCCAAAGTGTGGAACCCATTTAGACTCAGGTTATGCACAATGCATTCTGTATGAGTCACAATTCAATCCAAAATTCTTTTGCTTGCACACACTTTAGTTCTGGCCGAAGAGGTAACAGATGCAATTCAAACACACAGAGCTAGCCTTGTAAAAAGTTTAACTAGCACAATGAGTCACTTTATGCCTCTAAATATCTATGGTTTCCTCTCTCCAGAACCCCCATGCATTAGAAGGTAGTTTGGTAGTTTATTTTTATTGTTTGGTCTAAATACAGCACATTTTTAGTTCCATGAAAACAAAGAAACTTTGTTGCAAAGGCCGTATTCTTTCCCAAATGTGAGGATGGCTATAAGTAGTGTTCAACTGAAAATAATAATGGAGCTTAGGTTCCTAATTTAGGCCAGAAACTTGCTTAGGCTCTAGGGATTGGTTTGATTCAATCCCCATTTTAAAAAAATATGGCCAGTAAACATCTAGGTTAGTTAACCTAGTTAGCTAACTAGATTTAAATAAAATTCATTCTGGAAAAAAAAGAATCTTGATCAACATCATTTATAGGAATCGCTGCCCATAGTGTTGCACTTAAAGCACAAATGGCCATAATAAATTAGGTATCAGCACCTGAATTAAGTTGAGATATGAAATAAATATCTAACTCAGCCCTTCCCCAGCTCCTATAATATGCCGTTTGCATAAGTGACCCAGATAATTTATTGTATTTTAAAGTCAGGATTGACAGATAATGAATCTGTCTCAGGCATTTGGACAGCTTTAAGTATCAATGGCTCATATACCCATTAGGTGTCTTTACCAGACTTCCTTCTCTTGGTAGGGAATGGTGCCTGGGCCTTCCCCAATCCAGTTACTAGCAACTCTGTAATGCCTACTTCCACAGATGCAGGAAGTACAGGAGAGTCTGGCCAGGGGGAGGTAGCGCTCTCATTTATTTTTGGTATTACACCTGTCTCCTCCTCATGGCTTTCTGATGTCCTAGGAATCAGGAGAGCAATTTTATCTGGGACATCACACAACCTATGTGGACACATTCTATGTACTATTCAAAGCCAGCAAAGAATACTGGTTCTGTTATAAGCTATTCTCATATTTTATCCTATCCTGAATTATAAATTATAGCTTTGAGGTTATCCACAAAATAAATGTATTGCAAAATGTTGTATATCCAAAGCCTAAAGTCTGGAAGAATCCAAAAGGGTTTTTAAGTACTTGCACATTTTTTAAATAATCACATCTTGTCCTTCTAGTAAATATTTTTTTAAACCATGAGTTGGAATTATGCAGCATACACAATACATCTCATTCTTTCATTTGCACTTAAATGTTGGGGGATAAAATAAAATGCAACCAGAAAATACTGTGGCTAATGTATAGCTCATTTTTTTAATCACTGGACTCTTTAAGAGTTAATATCTCTAACTCTGGGAATATTTTAAATTTGGAACAAGTCAAATTCCAGACATTCAGGGCAAATAATATTTTAATATGCATTAATGTGAAGTCAATAAATCTCATTTGTCATATAAATGCAGTCTTGCTACATATGTTAAAAGCAACTCTGAATCTCATTATCAACTGATATACACTATTGGTGAATTTTGTAGCAAAAAATTTAAAAAGTATAAGCTTCTAGCCCAGCCAGGAGTGGCTCAGCAGTTGAGCATCGACCTAGGATCCAGAAGATCGTGGTTTGATTCCCAGTCAGGGCACATGCCCGGGTTGTGGGCTCGATCCCCAGTCAGGGGTGCGCAGGAGGCAGCCGATCAGTGACTCTCATCACTGATGTTTCTATCTCTCTCTCTCTCTCCCTCCCTCTCTCTGAAATCAATAAAGATATATTTAAAAAATAAATAAAAATAAAATAATAAAAATAAAGTATAAGCTTCTAGAATCACAGAGTTCATTATTAGAACAAAGAGAAATTTATACATACTTCCTCCTATAGAGAATTTAGGAGTAAACAAGCCAAAGAGTTAAAAACCGTCTCACAAAAATTCACACACAACTTGGAATAACCTACTTCTCTGAGAACTAAAGAAGTTTAGGCTGAAGAAGGCATTTCTAAAATAAAAGTGACCACTTTGGTCCTAAGGGCAGCACAAAAGTAAGAAGACAGAGAAGAAAATGCCAAAGCAAATCATGGTCTACTCTAGAAAATCACAACCTGCTTAGGAAAACGAACCCTCCGAACACCCAGGCACCATAGTCATTCCATCCTGCTGCTCACTCATCCATTCAGCAAGTAGTTAGAGGCTGCACTGGAAAATCTGAACACAAAATTTTTCTTAAAATCATTTTGTACAACTAAAACTAACACAACGTTATATGTCAAATATAACTCAATTTAAAAATTAAAAAACAAATAAATAGCCATTGCCTTTCCTCTCAAGGATTTTTCAATCAATAATCCAATGTGGGCCACAGACTACTACACCTGACCATGGTTGTGACATGCGTCCGATTATTTGGCAGTCAAACTTCTGCACATCCTTAGTTTACTAAATAAAAAGTGCATTGCTAAAATCACTTCAACACAAAAATGCACAAAGAATATAAAGAGGAAATGCACAAATGAAGAAATACAAATGTTCAATAATATAAAATATGTACAGTCTCCCTAATAATCAAAGGAACATAAATAAAATATTTTCACCTACAATATTGGCAAAATATTTTGTAAACTGGTCAGAAACTAGTATTGGTGAATGTGTGGAAAAATAAACACTTTTATGTACTATTGATGAGATTATAAATTGGGTACAACTTTACTGAATGGTAATCTGACAATAAGTGTTAAAATTTTTAATGTCAATCTCCTTTAAGTTTGCTATGCTACTTCCAAAAATATATTGTGCTCATAATTTTATGTCAATAAGTATATTGTTGAATAAAAAAGCAACATATATAATAAGAACCAATCAATCAATTTACAGAAAATCACATGTGTATACACACAAAACCATTTCACAAAGTAAAATACAATGTAACAAAAATGTTAATGTTGAGTGAGATAAAGGCTTATTTTTACTTTCTTATCCTTATGAGTTGGTGTTATTGAGATTTTTAAATACTTAACATGTCTAATTTGTCCCAAAACAATAAAGCTATTTCTAAAATTCAGTATATCACTTATACATTCAAAGTAGTCACCCAGATCCTGACTGACTTGCTATTACTCTAGCAGCAAAAGCCAAATACTAATATTAGTTACAAAGAGAAAAACCTCTGAATTATAAGGCAACTTCAAACAACTATCTTGACATCAAATGAAGAAACCATAAATATTTTCACAAAAGCATGTCCCACTCTCCAAAAATAGCTACTAGATCAAAGGTAAATAGCAAATAAAAACACTGCCACCTCCCTGTATAATTAGACTTTAAAAGCTTTTAAGCTAAATTTTTAAATCCTGCTTAAAGCTGTCTCCAAGCCACACCCATTTTTTTTTTTTTTTTTTAGCCCCATCCCTTTTTAAAAAATTTGCTTTAGCAAAAAGGTTCAAGAACCAAATGGGTGGTTGAATTAATTTATGTAGAATTTTGAAATATGAAAGGAACTGACACCAAGCTAATGCCTAATTTTTTAAAAATGCAATTCCTAATAATTAAAGACATCACAATAGTGAATGGAAAAATTAGGGTTTAGTTATTGATATTTGTATCTCCTAGGATAAAAGTAAGAGTATTTCTAAGGTGTCCAGAAAGATAACTTAAGATACTACCCAGTCCAGCACTTTGCTTTCCAGGAACAAAAACCTATTTCCTCAAAGAAAGATGAATTTCTCCTATTCTTAAAGATCTCCAAAGATTTTTATTAAAGCCTACTCATAGTAGCCTATTCATTTACTCAATGCTGTTCAACCTACATCTTCAATATGATTTCAGTATTGGGGACCACTATTTAGAAGGATCATTGACAAGTATGCAGAAGAGATTGACTAAGAAATCTTATAGGAACCATTAGAATGGTTGCAAGTTCTAAAAATAGTTCACTGGAATAAACTTTAGAGATCATCAAACTCTTAGGTCTCAGGATTCTGTGAGATTTCTAAAAATTAAGAGTCCCAAAAAAATTATGCTTATGTTTATCAATATTTATTATATTAGAAACTAAAGCTAAGGAAAATTTTGTTATTAATTCATTTAAAATAAAATATATGATTAGATAGTAGTGATTTACATGGTAACATACTTTTAAAATATAAGCATATTTTCCAAAACAAAAGAATTTGAAGATAGGCAATATTTTGCATTTTTGCAAATCTCTTAAATGCCTGGTTTAATAAAAGACAGCTGTATTCTCATAGGTGTTACTGCATTCAATCTGTGTGATATGTTGATTTGGTGGAAGTACGTGAAAAACATCCATCTTCACACAGATTCAAAGTTGGAAAGAGGCAGGATGTTTTAATAGCTTTTCCACATAATTGTAGCTATTCTCTGATACTATATCAAAATTTGACAAGTAATAGTTTCTCAAAGGTTAACTGCAATATATAATCTGGAACCTGAACATCAATGAAGTTTTTGTACTCTGTTACTTTAA